TTTCCCATAAACCTTTCACTTAGATGCCTATTTTCATCTCTATCCAGAATCCTGCATTTATTTGTCAGACTTCCTTGAATTCCTGTGGCTGTGACAGGTACCCTGCTATTTGTCCTTGTTTGATGTCCATGCAAGTGTTGACATGTGTCGGCTAACTATTTTGTAAAATGTCTCTCACTTGGTATTTGTCTGATGCTTGTCTCATGAGGAGATTGGAGTTATGGAGTTTAAAATTATTTTAATTTTGATTGCTTGGTTTTTGGAAGAATACCACAAAGGTTAAGTATCAACTTCATCCGTCATTTTCTTCAATAGCTATAAACTGGCTTAGATCTTGATCGGAATTGCATTAAATATGTGGAACTAGTTGGGAAGGTTTTACATTACTCAGCATTATTCATCCTTCCAATTCATGAACAGAGAATATCTGTGTATTTGATCCTTCCATTTCTCTCACCGTTATTATGTTGCTTTTAGACTTGATTTTGTTTGCATTTTGATCTATTATTGCCATGGCTGCAGAATTTCATTTTGATATGTTACTTTTCATTATTGTTATGTGAAAATTTATTGGTGATTTTGTCTTTATTTATCAAGCTATCATTTTGCTCTCCTTATCAGTTTTAGTGTTTTTCTGTTTGTGGCTGTTTCTTTGGGTTTTCTACATAGACAGTGATGTCTTCTGTGAACAATGACAGCTTTATTTCTTACTTCCCAAACTGTATGTTCTTCATTTTAAAATTTTGCATTATTGTGATTGTTAGGACTTGCATTTAAATAACAGTGTTGGAGAGGATATTCTTTCCCGGTTATTAATCTAAAGGGAAAAAATGTCTAATTTTCACCATTAAACACGACCCTCATGGTAAGTTTCATAGATGTACTCTATCAAGTCCACTTTTTAAACTTTTGTCAACTTGTGTGCGTGTGCATGTGTGTGTGTGTGTGTAATTCAAATATAAGTAATACTTTTGAATGCTATCAAATGCTTATTGTGATTTGACTTTATGGTTTTTTTTCTTGAGTTGATGTATACTTTCCTTGTAGTTCATTTTTTTTAGCTAGTTGATGTAGGATTTTACATAAACTGATTTTCAAATTTTGAATTCATTGCTGGAATGAATTCCAATTAGTTGTAATATATTATACTTGTCATTCATTGTTGGATGTATTTACTTAGTACTTTTTGAAGATTTTTGCATTTTTTGTCATGGGTAATATTTTTATATATTTGTATCTGCTTTTGATATTACTCACTGCCTTCGAATCTATTCTGACTCATAGAGACCCTATAGAACAGAGTATAACTGTCCCCGTGAGTTTCCAAGACTTTTACTGTCGATGGAGCAGAAGCCTCATCTTTCTCCCAGGCAGTGGCTGGTGGTTTCAGACACTGATCTTGCTGTTGCAGCTTAGTGATAATCCACTCTCCCACTAGGACTCCTGGATTTGATATTAGGATACTGCTGGCTTCACAAAAAGAATTAGGAAATATTTCCTCTGCTCTTGCTTTCTGAAAGAGATAATGGAGAATTTGTATCATTACTATTTTTTTTAAAGTTTGTAGAATCCACTAGCATGTCATTAGTATATAAAACAATCACTGTGTTTAATGTCAAAATGAGTCCTAAAGGTACTGAATTTTCGAAAAGGAATTAAATGAAGTTCATTTTTCTAAAATTCTCTTCCATTTTTCTATATGTGAATATTTCAATCAATTACTAATATTTTAATATACTTATAATGTGAGTATAGGAATTCTTTTAGATCATACATATAAAAGTATGTATCTACCTGAGTAATTACACTATTTTTACTTTTCTGGCTATTGTGGGGTTTAGAACTAGGTAATATAACCTTCCTTTCTCTGATTCTTGCATAGCTTGTGATAGTTTCCTCTCACCCCCTTTTGTCTCTTTCATCCCTTCCTTCCTCTCAGTAGACTGGCTTTCTATCACAAGGCAAAAGATGTCCACAAATAAAATCTCTGCCCAAGGGATTACTGGTTTTTGAAATACTCAAAGACCTGGTTTTGGATTATTGACTCTCAACTCAGTTCTCACTGGAGGGTAAAACTGACTTTTTTTTAAGTGCTTTTTTGTTGTTGAATCGGCTCAGCCTCCATAATACACCATCATAGATTAATGTGGAGAGAGTAGGAGGAATTATCAGTAAATGAGATACACGTTGAGCAGATACCTTCAGCTGCCATCTACAATCCAAAATGTGAAATACTATACCAAGTAGAAATTGAAGGAAGAGTAACCTTTGTGGAAGGTTGAATTATATCCCGTTCATGTACATGATATTAGTATATACAAATAACACTGCATGGAATCACATAACAATACTGATGCTGTCAGCTGTCACCAAGTCAACTCCAACTCTGGATGAACCCACACGTGCAGAGTAGAACTGTGCTTTAGGATTTTCAAGGCTGTGACCTTTGGGAAGCAGATCACCAGGCTTGCCTTTAGATTCCTCTTTGTTGACTGTAAATGCTAAACTCTTAGCTAGTAGTCATG